TTCTATCTCTGTCTCAGTCTTATCTCTATTTATCTAATCAATTTCAATTTCGTTTCGAATTAAAATTTGAATAACGAATATGTTATATATTTAAAAAAAAATTAATTTTCGTCTTTTTAGAAAGAAATACTTTTCTAATCCATTTCCTAATACACGCTATATAACTGTTTTCTTTACCTCAAGATTTATATGTTTTTGAGTTTAGGTAACCTTGGAGAATTACTACAGCAATTTGATAGCCCAGCATATCGAGCGAAAGCAGAGGCTTGCGAAATTAGAGGAATCGTTGAAAGACGAAGGACTGTCGGAGCAACAGAAGCAGGAGAAACGGTTGCAACATGCCCAGAAAGAAACTGAATTTCTTCGCTTGAAACGCTCCCGGCTCGGCGTCGAAGACTTCGAACCTCTCAAAGTTATCGGCAGAGGCGCTTTCGGAGAGGTAAATTTTTCACCGCGTGGAGGCGTGTATATATATATATGAAATATATAAAATGTATATATATAATGCGATTGGTTCAAGATTTATATATATATTATATTTATATATAAAATTCTCTCTTGCGTGTCAAAAAAGGTAAGACTCGTGCAAAAGAAGGACACCGGGCACGTGTACGCGATGAAAATTTTACGAAAAGCCGACATGTTGGAGAAGGAGCAGGTAGCGCACGTCAGGGCCGAAAGAGACGTATTGGTGGAGGCTGATCACCAATGGGTCGTAAAAATGTATTATAGCTTTCAAGATCCTATAAACCTGTATCTAATCATGGAGTTTCTTCCAGGCGGTAAGCCATTTTTATTTCCACGCAAATATATTATTCTCTTCTCTGTTCATCTATCCTCTTCTTTTTTTTTTTTTTTTGCTTATCTTATAAAACTAATCTTGTTGTTTTTTTAAATTCTCTCGATATCGGAATTGAATTATCAATTGAAAGTATATATAAATATATACGCGTTTGATTCGAGATTATACGCAACTTGATTTCATTATGCATAATTATATGTAATTACACGATAAATATTTATTACATTCTCGTTTGTGATTAAATATACCTTTTTATTATGTATGTTTGTACGACTCGATAAAATCGTAATACAATAATTTATTAGGTGATATGATGACACTGCTAATGAAGAAAGACACGCTTTCCGAGGAGTGTACACAATTTTATATTTCTGAGACTGCGTTGGCAATCGATTCTATTCACAAATTAGGATTTATTCATAGGTAAGATATATATATATATATAAGATTTAAGAAAACTATATATAAAAAATAACCTTTTTCTTTTTTTCAGAGATATCAAACCGGATAATCTGTTATTAGATGCGCGAGGTCATATAAAGCTTTCTGATTTTGGATTATGCACGGGTTTGAAAAAATCTCATAGAACCGATTTCTACAGAGATCTTAGTCAAGCGAAACCTTCGGATTTCAGTAAGTTATTCTCTTTTCATTTCTTCACAATGGAAACCCTAATCTTCTTTCTTCTTTCTGATTTCTTTATTTTTCTTATTAAAAAAAAGCGACATTTTTTGATGAAATATTGTTTACAGTGACGTCATGTGGAAGCGGAAGTGGCGGAGCGATGGACAGTAAAAGAAGAGCAGAGAGTTGGAAAAGAAATAGGAGAGCGTTAGCTTATAGCACAGTAGGAACACCAGATTACATAGCTCCGGAAGTATTTTTACAAACTGGTTATGGACCTGCTTGTGATTGCTGGTCTTTGGGTGTTATTATGTACGAGATGCTCATAGGTATCTTACTCCTCTAGTAGATGATAGATCATCCGTATCCTGTTTTGGAAGAATTAATTATTTATTGATCAAATGTGTGTTATTTCAGGATATCCTCCATTCTGCAGCGAAAATCCTCAAGAAACTTATAGGAAAGTTATGAACTGGAGAGAGACTTTAGTTTTTCCACCAGAAGTTCCTATTAGCGAGGAAGCCAAGGATACCATAATCAGATTTTGTTGCGAAGCTGATAGAAGATTAGGTTAATATCTAGGATCATATGTGTACAAATTTTGACATATGTGTACAAAATTATATGATATATTGTGTACAAAATTTAATTAATATTATATCTTTGTTTACTCTTGTACACAATAATAATAATAATTTTTTTTTTAAACATCCTTCAGGTGCGCAAAGAGGTATAGAAGAACTTAAACTCGCTCCTTTTTTCCGTGGCGTGGACTGGGAACATATCAGGGAAAGACCTGCCGCGATCCCAGTCGAAGTACGTTCCATCGACGATACTTCCAATTTCGACGAATTTCCAGATGTGAAACTGGAAATACGTAAGTGTACGAAACGTTTATTCTATTTTTAAATTGAAAACAACAATATTTGATAATTAAGATTAAATGTAATTTTCTTTTTTTTTTTTTTTTTTTTCGCCCCCTCTGAATGATTGCAGCATCTGCACCAATGCCTCAAGACGGAGAAGTAATATACAAGGACTGGGTGTTTATTAATTACACGTTCAAACGATTCGAAGGATTGACGCAACGAGGCACTCCGACTAAGAAATAGCAACACTCTATTTCTTGCTCGGTTTCAACCAGTCAGCAGCCTGACGCAACTGGAATTCCGGCCTTGGTACATAATCCGTACCCTCCGTTGTCATCAACGACATCTCGAATGGATGGTTGATTCGTTTTATCTTCTGAATACGGTCCAGTCAATCATCGGCAGCCAGTCGCTTTTACATGTACATATATTATACGTGACGGGATGAGCGCGACGTATACGTTATCAACAAGATGCGAATGAAGAAAAAGAAAAGAAAAGGGCAAGGAAAAACGAACATGGCAAAGATTATAAAAAGAAAAAAGGAAAAAAAAAAAAAAATGTCGTGTTGTTTTACAAAGAAAACGGAATGATAAATATTCTGTAGACAAGCAGGTGCGAAAATCGTTGCACATGTGATAAGGAAGAACCGACATATTTTCATGCGCACTGTAACGTTTTTAGCGATGTCACAACTATAAAATACGTTTGTTTTTCGTTCTATCGTTCTATTCGTGAATATTCTCGTTTCCATCCACGATCTTCGATACGTAGCATAATAAGCTCTCTTTCCTAGCTATCTCCCTTTCTTTTTTTCCCCCTCTCCCCCTCCTTTCTGTCCTTGTCTTTCTTTTTATAGTGAAAATATTAATGATAAAAGAAAACAAAGATGGAGCCTCGGTCCCGTGATTCTCGCAAATCGTGTACAAATTTTTCGTAGGACTTCTTTCAGTGTTTTTTTTTTTTTTTTTTTTCTCTCTCCTCTCTCTTCTCTTTCCCTTTTCTAACGAAGCACTGGTTTAGCTCTCTTTTAAACGTTGTATTTATAGCTAGTACTGTGATATGATATTGTTTAAAAGTTTTGTATACAAATCACTGTTTTCTCTGTTAATGATTACTGAACTTTACGAATGTTGTACTCTGTTCGATTGTGCTTACGTTTCATTCAAAAAAATTTAAAACTTTGTTGGTATAAAAAAAGAATATTTTATATTTATATATTTTTTGAGAGCTTTTGTCTGAGTGTTATCTATGAATTGATCGAAAAATAATTGATTATATGTTTAATCGTATAGATTTTGTTTAATTTTTATGTTGATTGTAACAATTATATTGATAATCGAAAATTTATATCGGTATATATCGGTATACGACAAATATTTTTTAATTTTTTATTTACATGTAATTAAATATTTTCGCTATGAAAACGCTGTAATATGGAATAATCAATCTTTAGGTATCGTGGCACAAGCTTTTGCGTAATTTTTGTGCTTTATAGTTTTTTTTTTTTTTGTATCAATGATATATACGATGTATTATCAAATAAAATGTATTGCAATTAATTAATTAATTGGTTAAGAGAAGAAATACGATGTATAGAAAATAAATTGCGTGTAGAAGGAGAATCATATAAGGTACCGGGTCTCTTTCTTATAAAATAATTACTTATTTATAAACGGTTTCGTTCGTGCCTGAGCATTGTGAAATTTGTATAGCTTTAAAAGCATCTTAAAGAATGTGAAAACGAAAATCGATTACATTCGTAAAATTCAGGGCTCCTTCGTTGCCTTATTAAGGTTCCTAACACATGTACATGCGCAGCCCAATTCAGAAACTACAAAATGCGAGAACGAGAAAATTTATGGCGCTGGGTAAAGCATAGTGAATAATCGAACAACAAAGAGGGAAACGTTAATCAAGAGATAATCGATGTAATCTAGTGGTTGATGTATATATATCTTTTATAATAATTTTACATTAATTAAAATAGAAATCTATAATTATATACGGGGAATACCAAATTTCCTACTCGGTTTCCGCGAATATTTTCATTCTTTTTTTTTCTCTCTCTCTACCATTCTATTAAATACATCCCACTCAATTTTGAATCAAATATTTCTATTTTCAACTCGGACAATTATTAACCTATCTTTTCTTTTTATCGAACCTGATCGAATGATGGAGAGATTCGAGAGATCGATATCTCGCTCAGCATCTAGCAGAAGCGAATGGATTGTGAAAAATCGATCATACATGAAGGAAAAACAAAGCACACGAATGGTGCATAACGCTATCTCGGTCGATGAATATAGATTTATTTCAAAAACATAGCTATATTTAATTTATTTAGCTATACTAATATAGCTATACGTTGTGTAGTTTACCGACAGCCAGGGCACCGTGGTAGTAATAGTACTAATGATAAATAAGCTACAAGACATCTAAATAGATAACCGTAAGCAGGTAACATACAAAAAAGTACCTACGTATGTGTGCACGTTCGAGACGTATCGCGTTCCGGCTGATAGTACTTGTATCAAAGTTATTCGCTCCTTCCTAATACGATCCGGTGTGTCTTCGTTAACGACAACGTCACGCAACGCGATGTGCTGCACGTAGTATATACTATATATATTTACAAAGCATTAAATTCGTACAGCTTTGTCCGCGAACACTACTTCTAGCGTACGAGTGTGGAGCAAAAAACTCGCTTTGTTGTTGCTTTACTTATTTGAACGGCCTCAGTTCCATCGTAACGTTTCGCGCGATGTGAAGTAAATATTCACGGGAATGCTTTTGTAATCGAATGAAATACCCGATTGAATACTCGATTATCTCGAGTTAGATCATGTACCGATATTTGAAATGTGAAATTTCGAGCCTGGATATTCTACCTTGAAGTTTGTCAACGAGAGAATATATTTCGCGTAATTCTTCGTATAACTAGTGTATCTAAATGGACGTAAGTACGATGAGATGTAACGTTAGTTACTCCATACTCTCATGCTCGAAGCGCGAGTACCTTTGCGTCATATGAAATGAACGGATTTCGATGTATTAACTTTACTATACAGAGTGCTTAGATTTATGAAGTACAATTTTAATCGACAATTTTTAAACGCAAAAAAAAAAAAAAAAACGCGAAGTAAAAAGTATAATAGCAAGACTATTTTTTGCACCGATAGAAATGAAAAAAAAAAAAAGCAGGAAGTGAGTGTGTAATGCTAGTGTAATGTACAGGATGCATCCGTAACCGTGTGTCTGCGCGCGCGAAACGTGTGAAAGAAAGATAAGAGGCGCTAGAGTGGAGAAAGATTTACACAATAAATGCGAAAGTATAGGAAAACTATAGGAGGAGAAGAAAGTAGAGTGAAGAGAAGAGAGAGTGAGAGAGAGGATGAGAGAAAGAGAGAACGCGAGAAAGTTATCTTTAACAACTTATTACTTCGTCGAGTTGAAATATTCTGATATTACCGATAGAGATACTTTGGCGTCCAATGCTACCGACTAAACGAACCAAGTAATCACGATTTATTTATTTTGAAAAGAGAAGTTAAATAAAATAAAACAATAGCCACGAGATGCCTTCGAAGCAGCAAGTGTTTGGTGCCCTGAGCATAAAGAATACATATGCATTAGAGATGCAATGCCGTGAATAAGTTGGGAAATTATATAATTCGTGAATTATAGATGAAAATTACGAAAATACATCGACTCGAAAGAAATGTCTACTAAGATTGAAAGTTAATCGAAATAATTAATACACGCGTGTACAAGTTTTTATCAATTTTTTGTGAACGTATTTAAACAAAAAAAAAAAAAAAACTTTAATAAATTATGCGATAATCGTTGTCGGTGTATATTGTAAATATATATTTCGAAAGCACTCGAGTGTCTAGTGCAGATCGAATTGTATGTCGAATAAAAAAAGAGATAATATTTCGTCAGAATAATTTTACGATGTTTTGACCGATTAATTAAATTATCTCTCGTGTCATTGTAATGTACGTACGACAGTTTTTAATAATAATGACGCGAAGGAAACGCTAAATGAGACAAGATGTTTTAAATTCGTAATTGTTTAATAATTGGGTCGATGCGTGTAATTATTTTTTTTTTTTCAAAACAAAAATATTACGAATAGTGTCTCTAGTGTTGCACAAACTGATTATCGTATATGTACATATACATTTTATGCATCTGATCGTTCAACTGACCATTGGACGGATCTTTCGTAACACGACTCTCAACAAAAACAATATTGATCATTGTTGAGTGTTTCCAGACGCGTTTCATCAGCGTGCACGTTTAATTTTAATATAAATATATATATATATATACGCATATAACGTTAGTTTCGCGTTGATATTTATTGATTTATCTTACGAAATGTGAGGTAAAGATGAACAGAATACAATGTCCAATAGAAAATAGTTGTTTTCAGAAGTTTGAATGTGGTTGATAATTTATTCAAATTCGTTATATCTAATCTTCTCTCGTCCCGTTATTTTTCGTTTCATCTTTTACAATTTTATCAGGATTTGCAGGAAACCACCGAAACATTTTAATCCTCAAAATCATCGCTATTCGATTTGATCTTATCCTCTAATAGGTTCTCTTTGCTGGTTATCTCAATCGATTACACGATGGTTAATCCATTTAACAGTCCGATAAAAAAAAAAAAGAAAAAAAAGCTAAGCGATATTATCAAATGAAATACTGCTTCCCACGCGCGATACATTATAGTGTAATTATAGATATTGTCGTTAATAAATTGTTTTTTATTTTAGTCATTAGTTATTTTATTAAATCGATTTAATATGATATTTTATTTTAATTTGATTTTCGAAATCGATATAATTGGCCATTACTTTTTTACATTTCATTTTATAAATTACATTTGAAGATCGATTTAACTACATCGCCAATTAATTGATTCTAATTGTTGATTTGTTACTATATTCACTAAATTTGATAATAGAAGAAAAAGAATTAAAGGAAAAAGGAGTTAAAAAGTTCGTAATGCAATAATTCAACACGTACGTTCTTTCTATAACGATTTATTTTCAATTATGAATACAAGAAGAAAAAGAACAAGACGAAAGCGCTTGTGATGCTCTACTAATTAACTGACTATCCGTCGATAATGTCGATAAAGATGCTCTCTTATATTAACTTTCTAAAAAAAAAAAAAAAAAAGAATATCAT